ATTCTGCTGAAAAGTAGAAGTGCCTAAATGTGTGCCTTAATACTAATTTTATTTAACATCACTATCCTCCAACTAATGACTAGTTATTGGTTTAAACCAGTTTCTACATCCTGTCCACCACTATATCATCCCCTGACCCAGAAGTAGGCATGTCATGCATAATATTACTAGCTAAAGTAACAGATGCCCACCTTCAACTTTTTAAAACCTAGATTTTCTAGGGGTGCCATGACAGCCACTAATACCAATTGTAATACATTTTTGACTTTCCCCTTCCTCATTTCATACCGTTTCTAGATCTCACTCCTTATTCAGTCCCTTCTCCACTATATCTTGGTCAGTTTTGTAGGAACAACGTATTCCTCCAGTTGCAGAGGTGCTTTGGTTTACAACAGAATCACCTAGAATAGGAACTAGTGGTAATTCAGAAGAAGGCAAACTTGTACACAGTGGAAGAACATTTGATAGGATGAGGGTAAGGGCAAATTAGTGGCACCCTGCCTCAAAATCAAAGTGACTGATTCATAATAATCCAAAACTAAAAAGATGAGTAAGCTATTCCCAGGATTAAACATGGGACATAGATTGATCAATCAAGTGGTATTTTGTGATAAGTCTAGTGACAGTAGCAAGTTCTTGCTTCTTTGTTGCTAATGATACACGTGTTGCTGCTGGAGCTACATATTTTTTTTGTCACACTGTAATATCATTTTCAAATTTTTAGGTGCCATGTCTAACAATGAATTTCTTTATAAAATAATGGATGCCCCCCAGAAGATGACAGATTGAAAGATACAGTATATAAATGGGTGAAATAGGCCACTTATGTTAGGTTGAAAGATATATCCATGGATGGAATAGGATGCTTATATTAGGTTGAAAGATGCTTTTTGTGTGGCTGCACATAGTTGTTTTACAATGCAGATGACAAGCAGAAAACTGGACTTGATCCTCATAACTCTATATGTCCCTATATTTTTAATTGCAGTCACTAACCCTGACTCTAGTCACTAACATGCTTAAACTGATCCTGCCTATTACCTCCTTCCCTGCTTTGTGAAGCATTGTGACAAGTCCTTTTACAATTATTACACACAAGAAGTTAGAAATGAAAATGAAAGACACCTAGTAATTAGCACAGGCAACAAGCAAATCTCTTGCCTGTGATAGATGAAGATATTGTTATGGCACTGAGTGAGAGTACAACAAAACTAGTGTACTAACACCATGAGGTTGATTTTCTGAAGGCAAATAGGTTGTTCACTTTAGACATGTGCGATTCGTTTCGTTATGATTCAGAATTCGGACGAATTTACGGTATTCAGAGATTTGGATATATCCGAATAAAAATAGTAACAAATTTCAACAAATATGAAAGAAATGATAACAAAAATGTGGGGTCATTCGTTTCATTCGGATGTTGAGATTCCCTTTTTGAGTGTGTTTGGAAAAAATCGTACCATCCAAACCTTCATATCGTCCGAATTCAAATCCCGAACTGAATAGAATTTTGGACAGCTTGTCTACAACCTATTAATAGCCAGTCTCCCAAAATAACGAATTGTACATCATAAAGAACAACCAACCGTCTGAAATTACTAATAACTATTTTTGGCGAAATAATGAATCATTCCGAAAGCGAATCATTCTAGCAATGAATATGACAAAACAAAATTATTTGCTTGATGAAAAGAAACAAACCAAAACATTGTTTTTTCCGCACTTGCATAGTTCACTTTGCAAGGGAATTTGCACTTTGCAGGGGTAGTTTCCCTTAGCTTGGTGAATGTGGTGAAATTTCACTTCACAAAGAATATGACGGGGGGGAGGGGGACAATATTTTTTCTTGCAAATGATTGGGTGATGGAATTTACTGCAAAGTGCAAATTTTCTTGCAAAGTGAACAGCCTAGTTGCTTGTAGTAAATCAACCCCTATAACTGCAAATGGTGCCAGTGCACAGCAATGACAATTCCAGCTCCCAACAACTGTGAGTGCTGTGTTTCTCCAGTGTTTTTATATGAGGGCTAAGTCTGATGACCAAATCATGTCTGATTTTCGGTGGGGGGTGGGCAGACAGACACAGGGAAAGATGGGATACAAGGCACCATAGGTCAACACATCAAAAGGCACCTAGAACTGAAAAATTGTGCTCATGAGGAGTTCAGAAACTCTTAAAATGGTGCAATCTGGTTAAAAATCCTGCTTTTCCTCACTCATTTCTAATCCTTGCAGTGAAAAATGCTGGATGAATACACCTGATACATGGTACAAGTATCAGTTGTTGGATGGATGATTGCATTTTCGAATTATGTTTTTCCTTTGCCATTCTGAGTACACATCTACAATAGAGGGAAAAAATCACAATATTCATTTCTTTGCTTGAATGTTCAGCTCCAAAGAAAAGAGAACATTATGTAAATTCTCTAATGCCTTGTCATATAAGAATCCATTACCATGGTGCCGAGTTACTGAACAGGCCACAGTGAGGAATTTCTTCTATTATATCTTGTAACCATGCTTAGGATCTAAGATTGATTTCTGTAATTGAATTGTAAGTTGATAAGAATGTACTTTGTTTTTTTTTTGTTTGTGTTTTTTTTAAAGTCACCACAATAAAGTGAAACTTTTAAAGCGTTTGAGGCCTCTGCTTTGTCTGTCCAGCAGCCAGCCAGTGTGTATGACTATATCTATGATATTCATTGAGTTCAAGGGGCACTGAGCTCAAAATGTTTTTATGCATACAGTGGAAAGGGAGACAAACAGCTAAATAGACATGAATTTATATGATGGTACCTTGGTTCAGTCAGTTTTGTTATTCATACACTTTAGTAAAAAAAAAAAAAAACAGGGAGGTGGCACCCCTATTTCTTTTTTTTCCACATTATCAGCATCAACTATGAACAATTGGCAAGGAGGTGACTCAATAAGCTGTAAAACTGAACCCAGAAAGCCTATAATGAATTATCTGGCTGTGCAGTTGTGTGCATTACAAGACTGGCTAAACTAAATTGTATATATTTTGGCAGGTTAGACAGGTTGTATATATGTATTTTAAGTTTATATTACATAGTTACATTTGCTTACACTCATTGCATACACCTGGTTGGGGGCGGGGAACCAACCATGTGTATGCTGACATGTGGAGGTACCAGGAAAGGAAAATTACGGAAGGTTACTATACAATTTTCCATTTTCCTGGTACCACCACATGGCAGCATACACCTGGTTGGTTCCCCGCTCCCAACCAGATGTATGCTGCCATGGGGAGGTACCAGGAAAGGAAAATTACGGAAGGTAAGTATACAATTTTCCGTTTTTTTTCTTTGTGTTTTACTTACCTGTCTCTATGGCAATGAGTGTAAGCAACATATTTGGTTTTATACTATCTCATATTATTACAGATATAAATCTTCTAGGCATACCTGTTTTTAGGGATGGTTTTTGGTGATCCTTTCTGATAGAGGAACTATGAATCTTCTACAGGTGCAGCAACAATGCACTTGGTCCTCAGACCATGCTCAGTGGAAGCAGGCTTGTAGCTCAAGCCCTATTCAGTTTTACTAATTTTATTGTTTAAAGTGCGCTTCCACTTTTGCAGTGAAATGTGAGAAACTCCACTATATGCTTGTTACAGGGATTAGCACAGGTTATGACCAAACCCGGTCTGAATCTGAGCTCCTCTGAACTTAGAAAGAGCTCCTCCCAAACACGGAAGGAGGCTCCTTCTGTGCTGCCCAATCAGCAGTGGGTGGGGAATTTCCTGCCTGAAGCTTGATTAAGAGAAGGGGTGGGACTCAGAGATGTCATTGACTAGGGATGCACAGATACTTTTCGAGTACCAGTGCCGATACTTGGCATTTTCATGAGAACTACCAGGGTTGCAGCTGGGACCTGGCTCTGGCGCTCCACCACTGTCCTGAAATAATTAGTCTGTATTGTTTTAGAAAAACTGTCACATGACAATAAACAAAAATGTATCACTACTTGTACTTGTAAGTACTCGGCAAGTACCAGTACTCGTACTCACAAAATTGGTATCTATGCATCCCTTTATTTATATTTATAAAAATAAAATCATACATTAAAACAGAGATGTACAAATCCCAGGAGCTCCGTGTCCTTACAAATGACCGCTGCCTCCTAATTTTAGAATTTTTCTCTAGTGCAGTCCTGGAGCTCAAACGTATCGGTACATGTACTCGTACTTGTACCGAGTACTGTACTTGGTATCTGTGCAACCCTATCATTGACCTTATATGGCCACATGGCTATATTAGGTAAATGACATCCATATAATGTAAATAACGTCATAAAAAGCATCCTGCTCCTTTGTTTATGGTGAGCTGCAGGGTGGGGAATGCCTCAACCCGCAGCTGATTGGGCAGGAGGCCCATTTAGCTTACATAGTGTGATGAGCTCAAGTTCAGACAAGCTTCGGCATGAACCCGAGCTCATTCCCAGTGTGTGTTCCCATTCATACACTATCCCTAAAAAAGGATCTTTAAAAATATTTCTTTACCTTGTTGTTTCTTGAAGCAGGATTATACACGGGGCTGCAAGTCATTCTGGGAAATCAGTTTCCCCCTCTTAACACACATGCAGAAACCAAGCCTCAGCATCTTTAACCCTTTGTTAGGAAAGGCAGTGTTGAAATCTAGTTTAAAACTGATAATGAGATCTAACAGCACAATACAGACAGGGTTCATTATAGTAAACATGAACTTCACAGCCCCCTCCTTAACATTACATCCAGGTAGGATTTTTAAGCAAGTAAACAGTACTTAAACATGTAAATAGCAATTCTTATTTGTATGCAATGTGAATGAGAATATGTAACAAATATAAAGTAGGTGTTATCCCAATCTGACTGCAAAAATGAAAATACACTTTAAGCTTAAGGTACCGCGATCCAGAAAAAAAAAAGTTACAATTGTGTCATAAATTGAATGATGAAGTGATTTCATTTCTAATTATATTTTGTCATATTTAAACACAAAGGTGCTGCTGGAGACCAGAAAGGATTTTTGGGATGCATCCGTGCATTGAGAGTAAATGGCGTTCCCTTAGACTTGGAAGAAAGAGCAAAGGCAACACAAGGTGTAAAGCCTGGTTGTTCAGGACACTGCACAAGTTATAAGAATCTCTGCAAAAATGGGGGCACATGTAATGAACTGTACAAGGGCTACACATGCGACTGTTCAAGAACTGCATATGATGGGAACAACTGTATCAACGGTGAGTTGTAAACTCTTGAAACACATTTAATTTTGCCTATTTATTTTCAAACCAAAGTCTACCTAAACCAGTATCTTAGATATCTAATCGGATCAGTCACCCTCTAGCTTTTAATAACTGAAAATCCCTGTAATGCCAGAACATCACTATAGGTTTGGCTTAGATGAGAGGGATGGAGCTAGACGTTCCAAGAACTTAACCACCCCCCCTAATTTATTAGAGGTCTGCAAGTTATTAAAGTGAACTTGCTAGTATAGAATCTGACACTGACTGATGGATTCTTTTAATGGGTGCTGGCTCCTACTGGACTCTTTGTAGAAGTGTTGGCTCTGGGACTGTCTACTACATATTAATTTATTGACCTGAAACTATCCAGACATTGAAGTGTGAAAAAAACAGAATTCTTGTCTGCACACTTGTTCCAGCTCATTGACACACTGGGTTGGCAGGAAAAGATCAGAATAATAACACTAAAGCCTGCACCTTTCAAAATAATCCGCAGAATCTCTTAAAATAAGCAACCCTTACAACCCAAGATACTAGCTTTGAACAGACTTATGCTTTAAATATATTGCATTGTGCTTGAAGCAGCATGAAAAGAAAACCTATAGGTAAGTAGGCGAAACACATATCCATATATACTGCTTTACATTTTTGGGCGCAGTTTTCTTTTACAAGTGCTGTCTTGTGGAGGTAAGTGCATTGTTTCTATGCAACTGAATGATGGATCATTTAAAAAAAACATATGTTGAGGAGTTCCAGATACGTGAAATAGCTTGAATAATAACCTGTAAGCTGTCTGACCTTTTCGGAAAATTGTTGGTCTGTGGTAAACCTATTTTGCTATTCCAAAAAAGCAGAATTAGTGAGCAATCTGGAATGAGATGTCCTTTTCATTGATGTTCACAACAAACAAAAAGGCAAACATTGATTATAGAATGTCTTAAAATGATGTTCACATTTATGATGACCAAGGGAAAATTACACACAGTGAAAATATTACCATAAAACTGAAACATAACTGCACTTTGTTTTTGCAAAGTTGACATTTTAGCACACACTTACTGAACAGTAAACCTTGTAAGCTATCATTTCCACTGATTTGGAGGCCTGTTTATAAAAGAGCCTGATATTTTGCCACAAAATATGGATTTTGACATGTTTTCTCAATATGTGAATTTGCACTTAGCATTTGCTCTGCTCATGTTTTCCAAAGGTGACAATAATCCAGCAAAACCTGTTAGTTTTTTTATTATTTTACCCATTTTAACATGCCACCAGTTGCTTTGTCATTCTAAATTAGGCATAATCTATTATTTTTAATGAAGGCACGCTGGAGAAAGTGTTTTCAGAGAGTTTGCATCTTGTTTTAGCCTGCCTATTGGACACAACTACTTAACAACTACAAAACACATTTGATTTGTTTTTCACTTGTCTTTTAGTCAGTCTCTTTAACCACTTCAAGACCAGGTGTTTAGACCCCCTTCCTGGCCAGGCCATTTTTAAATGTTTAGCGCTTCAGTACTTTGACTGAAGTGTATTCCGTCATGCAGCGCTGTACTGAAATGAATTTTATACCATTTTTTGGGGACAGATATAGCTTTATTTTGGTGGTATTTAAACACCACTGGGGTTTTTATTTTTTACTATAATTAGGAAAAATTACAGAAAATTTAGAAAAAAATAAAAAAAATTTACATTATGTTAGGAAACATTTATTATTACCCAGTTTTTTGGTAAAATATAAAAGTCGGGGTCACGTCGGGTAAATAGACACCAAACATGTCAAGCTTTAAAATTGCGCGCACCCGCGAAATCGCATAAAACTACCATACCCAAAATTTCCCATAGGCGACACTTTAAAAGCTTTTACCGCTCATCAGTTTAGTGTTATCAGTGATTGATGGCCCTAGACTTATTGTTCTCACTGCGACGTTCGTGGCGATATGTAACATGTGCGGTGTAATGAGCGCAATCGTCTTTTTTGCACGTATGCGCCCCCGACGCATGTTTGCATGCGTGTATGTATGGGTGGGGACTTAAAAAAATGTTTTTTTTTTTATTCTTTTTTATGTGTAACTTTACATTTTTTTGGGAGGGGGACTTCAATTTTTTTTTTCCTTTTTTTTTTTTTCACTAAACTTTGCTATTGCTATTGCATACGGGGCTAATAAAAACCCCCTATGTGATAGCAAAATATGTGACAGGTCCTCTTTATGGAGACATCAGGGGTCTCCAAGACCCCTAATGTCACCTAGGACCCCCCAAAAGAAGCTGATGAAGCACAGGTCTACTCCATCAGCTTCTTTCCAGCTTCTGAAGCTGGAGAGTGACACAAGAATGCGGAAGTAATACATAATATGTATTATACAACACTTCCGCATTCTTGCAGAGGAGAGGGGACCGGAGGGAGCTCATGTACCGAGCTCCCTCTAATCCCCTGTGATACAGGCGACCTGCTGATCCCGGGCTCGCACCGGGCACAGCAGAGCCCGTGATCAGCGGGACAACGGCGGGGGGTAACAAATCATTGGACTACGCATCCTGACATGCGGGTTTATACACGCGAGCCGATCGGCTGAAGATGAAATTATTCATCTTAGCACGTTCAGCTATATGTGTTCTCGCAAGCTGACGTGTCGGAGTGAAAATTAAAAGACACACTACATGCGAAAGTCTGTGTGCTGCCGCTCCGTGCTGCTTTGCGTGCACTGTGTCACGTTCTTGAACAGCTGGGTGAACAACATTCATATGACATTACTGCCACGGGGTGCTGCTCCTTTGCCCATCTAGTGCCGGTAATGTTGTGTGAACAGCATAGGTCCAGCTTTACGCTGGCTGGAAGATTTATACATTAGCCCCATGCTGCAGTACATGGGTTTGCAGCTGTTCTTTTAGCCCCTGTTATTTTCCATCAACTGTTAAATACTAAAGAGTATGTTTCAAGTTTTGAAATGTGCCCAGACACAGAGTTAGCTGCAACCTGCCTTGAGCAGGCACTGAATTGTGTCACCCATGGACAAGCCTCTAAATCTTGGAAGAAAAGGCTGCCCAGGACTAAGGTTTATATGAAAATGGCAGCAGAGGTGTAGAGCAGCGATCTGCAATGGTCAGGTGGTACCATTTCACTTTTATTATTTATTTATTACAAGTATTTATATAGCGCCAACAATTTCCAAAGCCTTTTACACATTGTACATTCATATCATTCTCTGCCCTCAAGCAGCTTGCAGGCTAAAGTCCTTATCTCACATGTTCACATACGGATACTAGGGTCAATTTAGAAAAGAGCCAATTAACCTACACGTATGCCTTTGGAGAAAACCCATGCAAGCACAGGGAGAACATGCAAACTCCATGCAGATAGTGTCCTGATTGGTATTCCAACCGAAAGAACCTACTGCTACAAGACAGGAGTGCTAAGCTCCCCCTTGAAAGGAACCATGTCCCCCTGTTGATAGCGGCAACTTTATCCTCACATCCTCTCCGCCAAAGGGTAATTGTGGGTGTGTGATGGGGGGAACGTATTTGAATCTGGAAGCCCCCCATTAGAATCAGAGGGCCCAAAAATCTGCCCCTCCACCTAAATGAGTATTGAGTACATAGTATCCCTTGTCAAATAAAAGAACTCATAATGTAGAAAAGGTCCTATAAACAATGTTCCCCACCACCATGATGATACTGCTCTACCGCTACCTCCGTCACAAATGACAGCTCCCCGATGCTGCTGGAATGCAGACATAGTTGGTAGCGTCATCACACCCCTAATTGTGACACAAAATAATGACCTGTAAGAATATTTGGCTTTTTAACATAATGGGTTATTGCCTTTGGGAAGAAAAAAAAGCTTTTTACCTCAGTAGAATTTTAGCGAAATTCTAGCAAAACGGCCCCAACTATTTGTACCAAGGGACCCATTTTTGTTACTCTAATTCTAGCCCTGATTGTAGAATGTTCCTTTTGGTCTAGTTTTCCTATTTATTCTACTTTTCACAGTACCCTAGCATAGGCAGTTTACATGATGTTAGCGTCTCGAATATTAACAGTTAATATAGATGCAGACAAAAAAGTTTTGCCAAACTCGCTGGCTGCTATGAAGACACAAGTTGCCTGACACCATTCTAATGGCTTACAATAGTAGCTGTAATAGCTTGCGCATATATCTGATTGGCTTAAAATGTATAAACGTAATGTTACTGCCATAAGGTCATATTTCAGTATGATGTACTGGGAATATTGAAGGTTTTCTTTTCTACTTTAATGGCTTTTGTCAGTTATATAGATTTTACATTGTGCTATAAGAAGGAAATGGAACCAGTGGGACTCATATTTGTTCAAGAGAAAACAATACAATAACAGAAAAGAAACATAAACACAAGAGGCTGCAGTGCGTTATGACATTGCAAGACTGTTTGCCATAAGCTTTATTGTTTTAATAGGTCAAATATTAGAAGGAAGAACTGCAACCAATAAAACATGTATTAATCCATTGATAACCATTTAGTGAACAATGGATTCATCTAGTGGGATGTGGTACCCTACAAGCCAACTCAATCTTTTGGTAAATTAATTTGTTCTGTGAAATGGTAGCAAAAGCGAAACAGCACTTTTTCTCATGTCCTATTTAGCTACAAATTAGCACATAAAACACACTTAGAACTGGCATGTTCAGAAATAAGTAGGCAAAGGTTTACCATGGTTTGGAGCATATAAGAAAGTAGATGTTCAAGGATATAAAGCAAATGGTTGCGTTAAACAAAATGGCAGCTAGAATCTCACAAATAGAATGAGGGCAAAGTCTTGTGAGTCTATAAATCCATCACAGTTCCTACAAACAGTGACATATGAGCAAGTAGGCTTTATAGTGAATATCTGTGCAGAGGTGTCAATCCTCACATCATATATTAGCTGCCAAGACTAGTATGCTCTCTTCATGTTCAACTGGGTTTCTGTTATAAAACCAAGAAACCAGACTGAAACTTAAAGCACGGGTTTAAAATATAAAAGGAGTTTATTGAAAACAACAATAAACGTAAAATGCAAAAAAAACGGAGAAAGTCCGGGAGGAGTCAGTGCCGAGCCCGGGGTCAGATGCCAAAGCGTGTAGTCAACCAAGCCAGGTCAGGGAGCACGGAGAGCCTAATGAATGGAAACAAAGCCGGAGACAGGAACCAGTAGATCATTCAGCAAGTGCCAGGATCATACATGGAAGTCAGGAACAAACAGCAGCACACTTGGTTGATCAGACCAAATGCAAGGGCGGAGACTAAATGCGTACGGTGAGGTTAAATAGTGACCTGGTGCCTGCGTCATCACTGTGGGACAGGAATTACCCAGGAATCTAGTCAGTGCAGCAGAGTGATGGTGTGTGCAGGTTTGGACATAAAAGGGTGCCAAAGAGCAACCACAGTGTCACAAACACTTCAGCCATAGTTCAACTGGACAAGGCAGAGTAAGACCCTGACTGTTTCCTACCAAAAAAATACTGGGAGCTTCCACCCATATTGTCCTGCATGTGTGTGTCTGCAAGACCATAGGAATATATTGAGTAAACATCAACAAGTTAAATAAGAAAATAGAGGACTAAGACCTATGCTTCTTTGAGCTTTTTGCTTACCCTCATCTAAATATCGATAGAGTGGCTGATTGTAACCTAAACGTTCCAAACTACAGGTACAAGATAATGGGCATCTGATGGCAATAGGTTCTAAAGGTAATAACACCAGTACTTATATCTATTAATTGAAATTTGTACTCCTAAACTTTTAAAGGTAAACATCGAAACCCAAGTGCATAGACCCAGGATGCCTACTTTATTTCCCAGAAAACAATCATGGGTGTCTCGCTCTGGTTTAATTCACATTTTTTACAATTGCCTGACTTTTTCTGACCTAATGGCCTAATCTCCATCAACTTCCATTTCAATTAGAACACCCTTACTGAACACTGATGCAGCCTCAGTGACAGTGAGATGCTGATGTTAGGGAATGTGGTATCCCAATATCAAAACGAAATAAGGGAGGAACACAGCTGACATCATGTTGTGTCTCCTGCTATGCAGGTCATTAACCTCTCCTTGACTGGCCACCATACATATACGACTCCGTACGCCGCCCCATTGTTTCGGTAAGACGTACCTGTACGTTCTCCCATGGCCACCTGTGTGCACGCTCGCACTGCCTGTACAGAAGCTGCTACTCCCGCTGTCATTGGACAATGGAGAGCAGGGCCGGCCTTAGGGGTGTGCGAGCAGTGCGGCCGCACAGGGCGCCATGGCAACAAGGGCGCCGTGCGGCCGACACAGCTCGTCCTGGGGGCGGCTTCTCTCCCCCTCACCGATGGTAAAAGCTTTTAAAGCGTCACCTATGGTCAATTTTGGGCATGATAATTGTTTGCGATTTCACGGGTGCGCGCAATTTTAAAGCATGACATGTTTGGTGTCTATTTACCCGACGTAAAACAGTAGAAAGGCATCATGGCACACTCACAAAACCAGCATGTAAAACAACATGTCTCGTCACTAAGGATAATGACAGAGGTTTGGCAGTGTTTCTGTACCTTTAAGGAGGTTGGGCGTCCTCCTGACAAACCTGCACTCAATTTGATATCTTCTGCCCCCATGTGCTCCAAGATGGAGACTCTCATAGTTTAGAGTTAGGGCCGCACTATAAGAGGTGCCTTGGCGCGGCAGTGCGGCTTACACATCCTCGGCTGAAGACGTGTATCCAAACCTCTGTCATTATCCTTAGTGGTGAGACATGTTGTTTTACATGCTGGTTTTGTGAGTGTGCCATGATGCCTTTCTACTGTTTTACTGTTCAAAGCCCATTTCGTGTGCACCTTACTGTATAACTGGTAACAAATTGTTGAGTGCGTTTGTCGTTTGTTTTATTTACCCGACGTGACCCCGCTTTTTATATTTTACCAAAAATATTGGTAATAAATGGGTGTGGTTACTGGGGGTGTGGCCACTAAAGGGTGTGGCTACTGAGGGGTGTGGTCACTGAGGGGGGCTGTAAAGCTTTCTCGCACAGGGCGCCTAAAGGCCTAAGGCCGGCCCTGATGGAGAGCATTGGGTTCAGAAACAGAACAGATCAGACCAGCTCTGTGCCTTGTAATCGCTATGATTGGTTATGAGTCGCCCATTCATTAATTCCTGGTGAAAACAAGTTGCAACAGCAGCAGCACAAAATAAAAATGTGTCACATTTTTACAACCCCTTCACCTTCCTTATCCTGCACATCTGTACATAAACCCTTTCCTCGTCTCCTCCCACTGTATGTGACCTGTACACTAACCCATTAACCTCCACCTCCCTTTGTGTACGACCCGTACATTTAATGTACTTAGTGTGACATTACTATGTTTCTTAATTTTCAAAAAATTGCGGCAAAAAATCAGATTACCTTTCCAAAAAGGGATCATTTCAGTTTTAAACTGCCCTGACATTTTTATTTGACATGTTTTATAACAGAAAGTTATATAGTAAAAAATAAATGATTATTAAATACCACCAAAAGAAAGCTCCATCTGTCTCAAAAAAAATATATAAAATCAATTTTAGTACAGTGTTGTGTGACGGATTAATTCTCAGTCAAACTTTCACAGCACTGGAAACTGAAAAATGGCCTGGTAATGAAGGGGATTTAACTGCCGTTACTGACGTGATTAAAAAGGGCATCCAGGTTTTTTTCTTTCTTTTTTATGAAAGCATAACAGGGACCAGTAGGTTGGGAGTTTTTAGCTGTGATAAAGATGGCAATATAATTTATATTTAAATATATAATCTTTCACATTGAATTACAGTACGTAGGTTTGTGTCCCACATTCCAATATCTTACCAGGAACAGAGGTAGCAACTATATTAATTAATAATCTATTTTGCTTCAATCTGCTAAGCAGCTGCACCGCTAGCGATTGCATGCCATGTTACATTTCTTTACAGCTTTTATGTGTAGGTATAGGGAGAATAATAATAAGCCTTGCAATGTGTTCCACTATCTCTCACTGGCTACCACTGATAAGCTCATTTGCTTGCTACTGCTTATGATGAGTTCACTGTCAGTTTATGCATTTATAATCCTTCTATATTGCAGCTGTTGGAGGGTACTTTGAAGAAGGCACATGGCTGAGATATAATTTCCATACAGCTTCTACTTCAGCAGTGGTCAGCCCAAAAGATATGTCTAATATTCCACAGACTACGGCTTCCGAGAATTCCTTAACAAAAGAAGAGCTGCTTTTTAGCTTCAGTACCAGCAAAGTACCATGTATCCTCGTGTACGTCAGTTCCTATTCTCAGGATTATATGGCTGTGCTCCTAAAGCCACCAGGTAAAGAATTCTATCTATATAATCAACTTTGCATCAGCTGTTTAGTTCAGTAAAAATGCATGTGCCCTCAGATATAAGCATTCAAGGTGATGTATAACAATCTCTTCACTAGAAGATTGCCTCATACTGAAAAAAAATATCCACAGGCTTTTAAATAAATAAAATATGTAAAAATATTTATGTTTGCGTCAACTGTATATATAAATGACCAACTTGAATGCACTTACCCTAAAAGCACATGTATTCTGGGGTTTTTTTGCTCGATAGAAATCATTTCAATCAATTTTTAGTAAGCTAAAAAAAATATTCTAGAGCAAACTTGTACCAAACCAGTTGTATTTTTAAATGGAATATACAAATATTTGATCCTAACTTTATTTTTGCTCATTCTGAATTGATGGTAAAGAGTAGCTATCATTTAGGTTTGAGTGTTCAGAGTAAATTAAAATGACCTTATCACTAAAACTCAAAACTGCTGTCATGTATAAATTGTCTAGAAGTGCCTGCACATACCTGCAGCAGCTTTCTAGTACAGCCAAGTCCCATGCTGGTCTGATTGGCAAAGCATCAACACTTCCTTGTAATCGTTGCATGACATTTTATCCTGCTCCTAACACACATTCCTATTGGCCTGTTACTGTGATGGGCTTCCCCAATGGAGGCAAGCTCCAAAATTGCCAGGAAGTGCCTGACGTCTTTATATCTTGATATCAGCCTCCTGCCTTCCCCTGTTCAGAAGAACCCACACAGTAAAACTGTGGATAGGGAGGGGCTAGTACTCAATAGACTGCTGCACACACATGTACTAAAAGTAACATGTTGACAGTAGGAGAGAAGAGAAAGATTACCTCAGTTTGTAGATAATAAATCATTATCCAATCACAGGAAGGTCCAGAAAGGTGACCAGGCTGTATTGCTAATTATCAGTACAAGAAAGTGAGGTCACTAACTTGGGGATGCATATTTTTTTTTATAGGAGAAACAGAAATACAAATATTTTTGCAGGTTAAAACATCAGCTCCCATGTATGAATATAAACTGTGTATTTATATGTTTGCCTATAGGTCACCTTTAACTTCTCCCAAATTCTAACAAACACTTCATTTGGATTTGTAGTCCACAAATTTCCATTATATTGAGCCAAATATGGGATCTGTTTTGATAGGTTACTTTGCCAACTTTAAAATTTGAGTTCAACATTTCCAGTTGATAATAATTAAAGTGACATTAAACCCTCAGATTTTTTAACATAAAACAATAGTGTAATGTGTGCCTTACTGTAATCCATGGTTGTTTCCCTTCTCTTTGCTGCTCTTCCTTTTAAATCTGTATCTGTTCTCATGCTGGGCAGAACTTCTGTTTGGCAGCAGACTGCCTTGTCTCAGGAATGGATACACGGTGTCTGTGTATCCGTTTGTATAGGCTTGAAACCTGAGCCAGCACTACAGGAAGAGGCCCTAAGCTGAAAAGGGAAGTTCTACCCAAGCATGAGAAGACATGAGGATTTAAAAGGAAGAGCAGCAAAGAGAAGGAAAACAACCATGGATTACAGTAAGGCACACATTGCAGTATTGTTTTATGTTAAAAAATCTGAGGGTTTAATGTCACTTTAAGTGTTAAACTTGCACTCTCATTCAAAGATTTGGCTGGTCGGATACTTCATGTGTGCAAAGATGTGAAATGTTCTGATCTCTCTTTCAGGTGTCTTACAAATTCGGTATAATTTAGGTGGCACCAAAGAGCCATATATTATAGATATCAGTGACCACAAGAATATGGCGAATGGCCAACCACACAATGTCAATATAACAAGGATTGGGAGGAGCATCATCTTCCAGGTAAAATGCATTGAAATGTTATTGGTTATAGCAGCGATTACATGGCAATGTTAACATTGCCATGTGATCTTTCTCTCACAACAGAAGCAGGGGAGAGTACAGAAACTAATGAATGGATGTGCCCTGTATTAGCTCCTGGTGAAAACAAGTTGCAGCAGCACAAAATAGTAAAGTGTGTTTACCTTTCACCTAGGGATATACCGATACCAGAATCAGTGCCGATACTGGGCATTTTCACAAGTATCTGTACTTGTGAAAATGCCCTGATACTAAGCGCTGATAAAGTTGCTTTAAAGTTTTTAACACACACGGCTGTTGTAAGGTCCCATGCTTGCTGGAGCGGCGACTGTTTACGGCACCGGTCCAACCGCAAATCTTTTTTCTGCCACCCGCACAGCCATGGTAAGACCTGGCACAGCACTGAGGAATCGCGCACCCGCCCACACAGCCCTAGTGAGACCCACATGCACTGGCCCGCATGCAGCCCTGGTGAGACCCTGCATGCAGCCCTGGTGAGACCCAGCACTGACCCACATGCAGACCTAGTGAGCCCCACACGAAGCACTAGTGAGACCCAGCATTGACCCGCATGCAGCCCTGGTGAGACCCTGCATGTAGCCTTGGTGAGACCCTGCACAGAGCCCTGGTGAAACCCTGCATGCAGCCCTGGTGAGATCCTGCACACAGCCCTGGTGAGACCCTGCAACTGCCTGCACAGCCCTAGTGAGACCAACACCTGCCCATGCAGTCCTGGTGAGACCCTGCACATAGCCCCGGTGAGACCCACACCTGCCTACACAGCCCTGGTGAGATCCGCACCTGCCCACACAGCCCTGGTGAGACTCTGCACACAGCCCTGGTGAGACTCTACACATAGCCTTGGTGAAACCCTGCACACAGTCATGGTGAAACTCTGCACACAGCTTCATATTATTCTGCATTGCTGGATAATGTATTGCTGGGATTAGTAGTCCTCTATAGCTGATGGTATTCTGCATTGCTTTATAATGTATTGCCTTTATAACGTAGTCCATCTACAGCTTTGAGTCAGTGGCTGAACTACCACAGTCACAGTGGTTGCAACTTCGTCCGGGCCCTGGAGCACCACCACTGTCCTAAAATCATTAGTGTGTATTGTTTTAGAAAAATTGTCACATGACACTAAAAAAAGTATCAGTAATTGGTATCGGCGAGTACTTGAGGAAAAGTATTGTTGCTCCTACTCGGTCTTGAAAAAATGGCATCTATACTTTCACTCCCTCTCCTCTGCAGTATCTGTCAGCTCTATTCTATCTCTGCTCTAAGCTGTGTAAGCCCTTTGCCTTCCTTATCCTGCACATCTGTACATTAACCCCTTGTGGTTTCCTGGATTTCCTGGTTTTGCTACCTACTCCAAGAGCTGCTCACCTGGAAAGTGTTTGCAGGGAGAGAGTTCAGACTTTTCAGTTTTTATTGAAAATACTTGTTACATGTTTAGAACATCTAGAATCAGGATGGACCTGAAATTTGGTCCTTTTAAAAACTTGTTATATCTTATATACAGGACTAAATGTTTTAAAACATAATTTTTTTAGTCAAATATATGTAAAATATTGTATAAACCAGCTTGGAAGAGGATAATCTAACTGTCTGGCTCAAAGAAGGCTAGTTTACAGAGCTCAATTGCTGAAGCTCACATAACGCACAAAGCTAAATGAGTCAGAGGAGTGACTTACCACCCTCCCTGCTCTCCATACAGATTTTAAAATCTGAAAAAAGATACTGCTGTACTCTCTCTTTAGAAAACTCACAATGCTATGTGAAACGTCTCTTGGAAATACCCTGTATTAAAGCCGGACTGTCAAAAGCACTGGCGGAACTACCAGGGTCGCAGTGGTCGCAATTGCAACCGGGCCCTGGCATTCCGCCACTTGGGGGGGGCCCAGCGAGGAAGAAGAGGGCCCCCCTGAGAGAGTGCCGCTCCTTCCCTGCCGCACAGCCGCCCGCAGCATGTATGGGCAGCTGTGCGGCAGGAATGGGAGAGACTGTCACCAGCAGAATATGCTGCAGGCACCGCCGGGCAGCACATTCTGCTGTGTGAGGACCCGACCCTCTTAGCCCCGCCCCCTGACCGGGGAGACGAGGAAGAGGGCTGCTGGAGAAGGAAGGTAAGTCTGGAGTGGGAAGTGGGGGAGGGGGAGGGGCGCGGGAAAGTGTGTGTGTGTGTGTGGTAGGGCTGACTTCTATTATAATGTATTGCTGGGACTTGTAGTCCCGCATAGCTGGTGGTATTCTGCAATGATGTATGATGATTATACAGTAAGGCAGAATAGCTCCAATTATGTAGGACTACAAGTCCCAGCAGTGCATTACAGTGGGGGGATGCTGGTGTATTGGTATTCTGCATACCTGACTTTTATTATAAGGTATTGCTGGGACTTGTAGTCCCGCATAGGTACTCTTTATTGACCCTGTCACCTCCGATACAGGAGTTCTAGCACAGCACTGTGCTGGAACTCCTGTGACAGGTGAGAGAGGAAGAGCACAGCTCTCCCCTCTCACTGTCTACACGGAGCGGCAGGGTTACCTTTAACCCTGCCGCTCACTGCAGTGAGGAGACGGACTCCGCGGTGGAGCCCGGAGGACGGAACCAGAGGAGAGTGGTAAGTGCAGGGGGGAGGGGAGGAGGCTGCAGGCTGTTTACATGTGATCTTGGCGACATCGCCGAGTTCACATGTAAACGAACAATCGGCTGCCTCACTCATCATTTAGTCCTGCTTGTGCAAAGCAGGACTACATGTAGAGAGGGCAACTTACCGCCCGATGCCCAGAACTTCCCCACAAGGACAACGCTGCCGCCCCTCTGCTCCCTGCCGCCCTGAGGCCGGGCCTCGGTGGCCTTGTGGGGAATCCGGGCCTGACTACAAGTGCCAGCAATGCATTCTTTTTTTAAGTAGGGTTACACCAGTGTCAATACTGGGAATTTTCACAAGTACCCACACGCGTGAAAATGCCCCGATACTAAACGCAGATAGCGGTGTTCTGTCGACGTAGTCGAATTTGCCGACCTCAGCATCTGCGCTTGCGCACAGACCGGTATTATCGAGGAAAAAGGGAAGTATTCGTTTGTAATGGTTAATTGTGACCGTTAATAATATTCCATCTGTCATTCACTACCATGGGCGGCATATTATTGAACGGTCACAATGAACCATTACAAACGAATACTTTGTAAAAAAATGCCGGTTCCCTCGTTAATCCCGTCTGTATGTAAGCGCAGATAGTGGGTCAGCGTTCTCGACAGAACACCGCACTAACATTTTAAACAAGCGGCTGCCCGAGGTCCCGCGCTTGCTGGGGACCTCGGCAGCCTTCCTGTTAACCATGCTGTGCCATGGCGGTTGGGGGGGGGGCCCTTCATGGTTTCTTGCACCGGGGCCCTGAAGGTTCTAGTTACGCCTCTGGTCAAAAGCCTTTCATTTTGTTTGGAATAAGGTAAGGAAGAGTTAGATACTTTTTTGTATGTATTTGTCACTATTAGGGAGGGCAGGATAGGAAGGGACCAACCTAATAGTAAAACACACCAAAACACATTGGGGGGGAATTGATCTAAACTGGAGTAGACAAAATATGGAGCAGATTTGCAATGCAGCCAATCAGCTTCTATCTCTCATTTTCAAATCTCAACTGAGCAAACTAAAGAGAGCTGATTGGTTGCTATGGGCAACTGCTCCAGTTTCTGTCTGCTCCAGTTTTGATAAATTCCCCCCATATTTGTAGAGTGGGGCAGGGGTAGAAATTCCGACAATATTTGTTTGCCGCTGTTGTCTACTTGTCCTTGTAACAGCTGCTTCTGATTTTTATATGGGTGTCACAAGGACAGAAAGTTAGGGATATTCTCCGCAAAGGCTTAACAAATAGAAAAGGCTTAACAAATAGAAATAAAAACTTGATCACAATGTTACTTTGCCACGCTCTAGAAAAGTTAGACTTTCAGTTTTTGTTCAGTGATGATCACGCAGTGAGATGTGAATGTCAATATGTGGTGGCAGATTCTATAATTCTTAGCAAAGGAAAGACTTGCTTTAACAACTAAATAGGGAGGTGTTGCCTATACTCTGTGGAGAATTATGACTGCAGATTTTATAATATGGATCTAGTTTATTATTTTACAAAATCAATCTATTGACCTGATAATAATATTAACACCCGCTAAAAGACTTTGCTATCAGAACTAGCACGATTTAATTTTATCACAGGCACTGTGAGCAAATACACTATAAATCAGAAATAAGACACTCATTGTATTTTTCACAATAAGATTTTATTGAAAGAAACATTTCAGCAAACAGTCATAAAAAGAAAGAAACATGGTGCAACATAATAGGCAGAATTATATGCATCAGTTCCAGAACACAAATACCAGGAACCACAATCTGATGGAACATAGATATCCCAAACTGCATATTACCAAAAATATGCACTTTATGTGATTGAAATGTGGACCAAAGGTCCAGCCACCATCTGCCAGAAAGAGAGCAGCGGAAGAGAGAATAGCAAGAGGCAAAACAAGAAAAGGGGCAGGAAAAAGAGAAAGCGAGACACATAGTACAATAGAAGAATAAAAGGAAGGAAAAGTAGAGATATAGGGGATATAGAATGGGCACAGGGGGGACACCACCAACCCAACATGATGAATTTAAGGGCTTTGGCATCAGGAAGGAAGGGCAAGATCCGAGTATATATATCAAAGGTCCCAACATGTCCCACTGTCACAACAACAGAAAGGTCAGCAACAGTCACCACATCCCATTTGGAAAGGTTCTTGAAAGCAAAGGTCCCCATATACCTGTATAAGAGCCAAGGTCCCATGTAAAGTTAAACTGTTCCTATCTGTAAAAAATAGATCAAGGCAACTGGACTTGCTGTATTTTTCTTGAAGACGTTTCACTGGTCATTCACCCAGCTTTCTCAATTCAGAATTACTTGTACAAAAAAATGTATCTGGGAATAAATATTTT